TACGATGCATAAAAAATGTGTAATCAGTGAGAAGTTAATGTGAGTTTGATATAGTTAATTTAGAGTCAATTCTAATATATATAAAGGGCATAAGAAAAAAGAAAAGAATTCTTTCGCTTAGCCTTGAATGGAATACAGTTGATAAACCATCCCTCATCTTCGTATTGAGATGTTGGTGACCCATTTTTGATCTACTGCATATATTTCAGTTTCAAGTGGTTCAATGTTCAAATCTGGCAAATCATGGGTTCAAGTAATCAATCAAATTGTTAGTATGTATGACAATGTAGGGAAAAAAAGCTTCCTATACTGTATAAAGATAATGCATAAACCTTGTATAGAAATAATGCGCCACGAGTAATATCAGATCAAAATATATATGTATTTAATGGCAACTACACTGCATACTGCTGAAACTTAAACAAGCCAATTCTAAGAGTAACTTATCCCAAATGAGTTGTTCTTATGTTCAATATAAAGTAATTGGAATTTTTAAATTTTCAGTGTACTTACATAATGCAATGTCTAAAAATCAGAATAAGGTTAAGACATGTGAACGAAAGTAGTATCAAAATGCACAGGAATAATGTGATGTAACAGAACAATTGCGATATAAATGAAAGTGGTATTAATCATGCAATAAGAACAATAGCAATATGTGAGCGAAAGCAACATCAATCATAAATATGAACAATAACACGTATGAGCAAAAGTGGTATTAATTATAAATATGAACAGTGGCGATGTGTGAACGAAAGCTGCATCAATCATACAACATAAACAATAATGCGTATGAGTGAAAGTGGCATTAATCACGCAAGCAGAACAATAGCAATAGATACGTATGTATATCTGTTATGGCAATAATATATAAAATAAAAAAAAATAGAATTGACAGTGAAAAAAAATAAAAATATTAAAATAAAAATATAAAACAAATTTCAAGATACTTTTTTTATATTGCTATAATCAATTTCCTCAAAATGCTCTATCTTTTAGTTCAGATTAACAAAGGTGTTAAATGTGTTATTCCTGAACGTATAATGAGTATAGAGTCCACAAGTACATTTTTTGATCTTTTTGATTTAACCATGATGGGACAATATGATGATAGAGAGGTGAAAGTTTCTATTAGGCAAGAAAAATCTGAAGGTTGGAAAAAAGTAGACAAGGGGTTAGATGGTGACTTGAAAATATTAGAAGTTTTAGGTTTTATGCAGGTCAAATTTTGTCTTGTTTCTGATACAAATTTAGATACAACAGTTTCAACTCAAAACAGGCCAAATGCTTTTGACATTTTAATGACAAATTCAAGACAACTTTTACTTCCACAATGTTGTACTGAACATATAATTATCATTGACTTTATTATGAAATTATTGAGCTTTTTGAATCTCAACAGGTCGAATAGACTTGCAGCTTACATGAAACACTAGGAAAAGAATTTGTAAATCGTTTACAAGTGCTCTTTGGTATATTGACCCACATATTTCAACATTACGTGCACGTTCATATCATTTACCAGTTCTTTTTACTCAGTTAAAAACATATCAGAATAGTAAATCATATGATGAATTTTATTATACTAGCCACCATAAAAAGAGACAGCTATCTCAACAAAGTCTTGCGCATCTTTCGAGTTCTCTTGAGATTTCTATTAGTCAACCATGGACAAGTAGTGATAGGTGGTGTCAAGTAATACTCGAAGTTCTTTCTTTAAATAGAATTTTAAAAAAATATTCAGACTATCTAATCACAACTACTGCTAATATAAATGAACTGCACTATAGTAATGAAAGTGCTCAAAATCCTGGAAATAACAGTACGATGTACCAGGTTAGTGCTTGTGAACCTCATCAACTTAAGGATGAATATACTCAATTAGATGGTCTTCTATTTGAAAAATCATTTTATGAGCATGTTGAAATTCAACAGTATCTTCCAAATGATGCTATAGACCGATACAAATTTATGAAAGAATTGCAACTTATATACCCAATCAGCATATATAGGTTAGTATTTTGTCTTATCAATTATTAGCTTGTTTGATTTTCTTAAAATTGTAGTTCAAAAAAAAAGTATAATTTATGACCTGAATAAGATCTTAAAGTTACCATAAAGTGCTAACTCAAGTATCCAGTGTGATGCAATTTTTCAAATAGTGAAAATTTAAAATTCACGTATATTATACATCATATGCATACATAAATAGCATTTTAAAATATTAATCTACACTATTTGTCACGCTGGGTACTTGAGTCAGCACTTTACAGTATGCTTTTTTTTTATACAACGTTTTAAATATTTGCGTAATTCATATTGTATCTAATTTGTACTATTCTGACTTTTTAGATACTATCAAGGTAATTATTTGGGAACGATTAACTACATATGGAGAATTCAAGAAAGTGAAATGTCAAATAATAAGCAAGATGAAACATTAAAAGCATGTATATTAGCCAAAATTCATGAAGAATTGCCTCGTTATTTTATACGGCAAATGTGAAAGAATGTACTTAATAAGGTAAGATGATAATGTAAGATATTTAAACATTAAATAATATAATATACTGTATTATTTATCTGTTATAACATATGATCTTTATATAATAGTATTTCTATGTTCAGAAAGTTACACCAGCAGTATTGCGGCTGCTTCATTTTGACCTTACTGGAAATGCTGCTGTAACTTCGGATGCAGTTAGTCGTGATGTGGAAGAAAGATTAAAATTAATGTTAACATTAGCAGATCCTAATATAATATTCGATTTGTGAACAAATAATAGATTCAAAGGAACAAAATTTGATACATTCTGGGATGAAACAGAAGCTTATTTTAATGAGCAAGTAAGATTTTATATTTTATTTTTATAGATGTACGAATGCGAGTTTCTTTGCTTTTGCATTATATAATTCTGTATCTCTATAGTAACTAGTATAAACTTTGACTTCTAAAATAATTTAAAGCTTGGTTCTATAAATATTGTGCAAAAAATATAATGCAAATAGAAATAATCAATTAAAATTTATAAAAATTAAAATTAAGCATCTATATGATTTGGGTTAACTAAATTTTTTAATGTGCACCTCAAATTTTCTAAAATAAATTATTTCTATATACCATTTAGCATTCCTTAAAAATAATACCTCTTTTGATTAAGACCCAGGTATTATTCGCCACCTATCTGGCTTTAATACCAGAGTAAATTTATTTTTTATATATTATATCTCCCATATATAGTACTCAGTTCTCACACAGTACCCACGGGTACTATTCAATTTAAAAAATATTGTTATTAAATAAGACCCCGGGTACTATATGCAGTGCTAAACGGTATATTTTTAACATTTAAAATGCTTATATTACATTATAGTATTATGTTTTGCATATATAGTAATAATGTATATCGTATATTTCTATTCCTGATATTTATAAATTTGCTATAAAAATAATCATTTTTTAATCTATTTTAATATAGAACTTACTTACAGTAAATGAAAAATGCTATGGAACTGTTCTATATATGCCATTGGCCTTGTCAGTTCGCGATCTTTGTAAAACTAAAGTGGAAAGGTTAAAAACAGTGTATAGTGATCCCTTATCTTCTGATATTAATATTCCATCAGATGAATGGATTCATATTCAATTTTGTCCTATAAATGCCACTACAATACGAGCAATGTATTATACAGGTCAATTTAATGTAAAATTTAAAGTACAAAGGCGAATGCTTCAAAAACACAGTGAGGATGCACATTATTGTGCAGCACTTTTTCAATATCTTAGAGAATTTTGTATTAAGTATCGTCAATGGACTTGTTTAATTTCTGCGATGATAAACATAAGATTCCTATTGGAGAGGATGTTGCAGTTTCTACAGGTATACGAAATCGACGCTCAATAGTTGCATACGAAAGTACTTTGGCCTCTGCTGATCATGATTTTGCAAAACTATCTCTAATGCCATCTGTAATTTTTTTTATTTCTATTCCTGATAATATTTCTGGATCATTTTATAATGGTCAAGTATATATATCATACAAAGATACAAATTTTGAACCAAGCACCACGATTAGACATTCAACAGAATTTTTAAATGTGCTAACAATTCAATATGCATATCAAGAGATATCCCCAATTTTATGTCTTTGCACTGATGGAGGTTCGGATCATCATTGTAATTATAGTTCTGTACAAATTGCATTAATTAGTCTTTTTCTTTGTGAAGATTTTGACTTGCTTGTTGCAGTTCGTACAGCCCCTAATCATAGCTAGACAAACTCTGCAGAATGAATTATGAGTACTTTGAATTTGGGTCTTCAGGGTGTAGCGCTTAGCATGACTCAATGAGTCTAGAATCTGAAAATTTATTCAGAATGATAAATTCTCTAGGCGATATATATAAAAAAGCTAAAGAATTCAATAAACTAGGGTCTGAATTAAAAGAGAGTATCACAGGCATTCAAGAAATATTAAATAATCGAACTGAATGGCTTAAATTAAAAAATAATAAATTTAAATGTTATTCTCCAGCAAGTCAAGAGAATATTACCAAAGTATTTGAAGTAAGCATTTAGCTTTTTTTTATTATATCATATTACGAAATAGGTAATGCAAGCAGTGTTGGAAATCTGTTTGAGATTTATGTTCTCATAAGAACAAATTTATTAAATTTAATGTTCTCGAAAATTTATTTATGTTTTCAACAATAATATTTATTTATATCCCTATTTTTTAAATTTCTTATTTCAGAAAATATCATCATTTATTCAAATTTTGCCTCAACTCTTCTTGTCTTTTATGTTCATTCATTTTCTTTTTAGATTATTTTGAAACTTCATTCGATTCCTAATTTTATTTCCATCTAGCATTATGCTATTATATTTATATTATACTTGTAGAGAGATCATATTTTTCGAGTATTATGTTCTCAAATTCTTTCATAGAGAAAATTTACAGAATATCGAGAACGTAAGATTTCCACCACTAAATGTAAGTCATGTTTTATAGTAACAAAAATTCACGATCAGGTGATTATGATCCAACTAATAATCTAATATTAATAATACAGTAATATATCTAATTACAAAATTTTGTATTGTTTAATATTACATTTTGGAGTTCAGAACAATTGGAAATCACCTGATCACGAATTCTTTCTACCATGACTAGTGTTAAAAATTCATTGTGTATGGTTTGTTTTTTGCACAATTACGAGGCATCCAGGACGACCACCCCAAACACGGGTCACATAACTATTTCATCAATGAAAAGGCTTATTGTTCTTTAAATAAATGAATTATACAGAACAATATGGTTCTATTGCATAAAACATGTGACCTGTATTTGGGTGTTGTCCTGGATGCCTCCACAATTACTGTACAGTATAAAAAATTTTTTTGCACAGCATATTTGTGCCGAATTTTCAACACTAGCCACAACTATTCTACGTTGAAATTCAATTTCTCGAATCTTATAAATTAAAACTACTAACTATAAAATAAAAATAGAATTGGATTCATTACTTAACTAATTAATTTTTGGCAGTCAATTTTTCATGTAGATCCAACTTTAAAAATTGAAGAAACCGCCCAGGCACAAATGCGCAATCATTCAACAATAATCGAATTTATTAAGCTCATTGTTAAACACGTGCTTATAGTTTTCAGGTATATAAACTTTTAATATTACAGTTCAAAGTTGATTTTTTAAATTTAATAATATTGATTAAAACAAAAATACTATATTTTTAAAGATAAAAAAATGCAATGATACTTCCTGTCTATACTGTAAGCCAATTCGTCTTCCACAAAATGAATTTTGTAATTTGAGTTTTCTCCCAGATCTAATTCCTTCAAAAGGTAAAATTAACTCAAAATAAAATATATAATTATGTATATTAATAAAATTTTAAAACTAGATAATACGGACTATTATGCAACCTTTCAAAATGTTTACGGATCTAAGACTACTGAAGAACATAGGCCAACATATATGCAGTCACAAGCAAAATCTGAATCTATTTCAAAATATATTCTAATTGCAGAAAAAATTGCCGAAAATGTCATTGTGTGTATAGTAATAAATCTTTAACGGACAATGAACAATATGGTTATCAGCAAGCATTAGAATCATTTTCATACTCATGTGGTGCACCGATTTTCTCTGATAATCATTATTTGAAAGAAGTGATATTTGTACATCTACAAATTAATTGTGATTCACCAATTGAAATACTGTATTATTCAAGCCGCAAGGAAGGAAATTTTTTAATTTGTTACTATTGTGGAAATAGTGATGATTTGACAACTCCATCTCAATCTTTGAAGGATCGTTTTAAGCAAATCTATTCATTGTGTGAAGTTTGTGAAGAAGGCAGAAAAAATTTTTATACTAAAGGGGCAATCAAGACTAATAATAAATCTAAAAAATAAATTAAACTCAGCTAATTTTTCTTTCTTTAAAAAAAAGGTTCTGACCAACTTTGTACACTTTGTTACAATTATCAATATATGGGTGTGGTGACTTAGTGAAGTGGTCAAGTTGTTACCTCCCAAGTGGCAGATCCAGGGTTCAATTCCTATCGGTGACGATTATTAAATACTTAATCTGTATATCAATGGATATGTCAACTTAATTGGATATGCTGGCGTAAAACGCTGTAACTAGATCTCATGTACTACGAGCTAGGGCACTAATTAGGAAGGACCACTTGCAAATCCCGAGTATGACATTCATTTGGGAAAGGTTGATAGTCGGGTCTATGAAGAAATGCAAACCATATGACCGGTGCAAATCCACAATAAGACCATATAAGGGTTATCTCCAGATGCAGAGTAGGACTGCATACTGGCACACACATTCACAAATACAAACACATGTATACAAACACAAACAAACACTATAAACAATTAAGATCTTCTGTAGGACATTAATGCAGCCGCCACTTTACTAAAAGATACATTCGTTGTAGTTAGTAAGGAGAATGAGGTATGGAGGTGGGCGTTAAAGCCTCTATACGCAGAGGACCAGTATAATGATGGTCAGACCAAACGTACATGGCAGACTATGGAACCCTTTGCAGCTGTGAGAGCTGAGCGTAAAACGGTGAGCGCCCCTACAGAAGAAATCCTACCCAAATCATCATCAACACCACTAGACTCCTATGATTTGGATATATGCTA